GAGGCAGTGAAGAGTCCACATGTGATCTCCAGCCTATTCCTTCCCCCATCACAGTCAACACAAGAGTCCTTGCATCGAGTTGATGGAGCCATCAGGTTGAAGCAGTCACTGCTGTAAGAATAGCAGGTCCAGAGTGTCACCTGGATCATGGAAGAAGCGCTTGTGTGTTAAGGCACTGATATCTGAGAGGTGTTTTTTATTGCAGCATAGGCTGAGCTTATCCTTAATAACATGTAGAGTAAGGCCAGAAGCAGAAGAAAAAGCCTCAAATCTGAAAAGCACTACAGAGGAAAGGAACCCAGACAGTAAAGACTGGTGTAACATTTTCCATGCATTAGTTTTTCCATCGATGAAGTAAAAATTCAAAAATGCTCTTTAACATGTTACAACTCCATGAGTATACACAGTACTACTTCCCCTTAATTCATTTTTATAAAAAGGAAAGTATTGTCCTGTCCTAAGAAGAAAGATCACATATTTTTCCCCTTCAGCCTGCTTGTCTCTTGGCCCATAGCAATTCTTGGCCCATTCTTGCCTTCACTGAACGCCTCCGATACCTTCACAAGCCAAGAGGAAAGCACTCTTCTGGGTCAATGTTCTTCTCTGTAGAAAGCATTTTATCAAACAGACTTTAGTTTGTCACCATGATTTGACAGGTATCTCCGAAACTCCAGCTGATGTTACAAGAGTCTCATTTCTTAAAATCAATGAAACTGGTCCCTTTTGTCATTGTTTCTCTGTAATATCACCTTGGACATCACATGTCCTTCAAAGTTGTTCTTCGTTGCTCTCAAATACCGGATTGCTGTAAGACACGCCCCTGCCACACTCCGGCATGTCAGAGTGGGAGGTTTGGTTTAGTGGGGGCCAACTAGGGTCACCTGCCAAATCCCTCTGCCATATCCGATACTGGCTTTTTGACTGATAGCCAAAACATCTTTTAATCATCATCCACAGGGCTCGATTTTCAATAACGGCCTCCTGCAAAATAAAAGAATTACTTTTTACAATCGGGGTTGAGTGTTTTGAGGCTGCAGCCCTCCACAGGTCATCATAAGTCACTACTGCACTGGTGCTTAGATCCAGCTTGACAAAGAGCTTGACCACTGGACGAATCTAAGGTGGTTTCACTGGACAGGTATTGGCTTCTCAAATGTTTCTATTTAAGTACCTCCTGTGGGAGAAGTAAGAGGTACAACATTTCAAGACTCTGGGAACATAACTTGAAATGGCTTGCCTCAAAAATGAAGTTTCTTTTTCATCTCACATCTAAATTAAATTTAAAATTATTCAAATTCTATGTTTCACTCCATAGCACATCTATATTTTATTGGATATAAAATGACATTTAAAATTACTTACTACTAAATACTAAATACAATTGACCCTACATAAAGAGGTGGCCCATGTATGACATGTTTTGGATATACCCTGACATATCACTGCATATTCATAAACACAGGTTGATGAAATTAAAACACAGGCCAGTCTTGGAGTTGAACAGATCTGGATTTGGGTCCCAGTTCTGACACCTATTATGGGCAGAACAGTTACTCTATCCAAGTCTCAGTGATTAGAATAATCCCTTATGCTTGTTGTAAGGCTTATATAACTCCCTTTACAATGCAGGGCAGGGCAGGGCATAGCTCTCTCCCTTTGCCTACCCTTCTGAACTACTCATTTAACAAATGGCTAAGCACTGTGGTCCTGTTCACACATGTCTCTAACCTTCACCTTCACTGAAATACAGTTTTAAGATTATAAAAGACATGTGTCTTTGAAAACATTTTGCAATGCCATTTTATTTCATGAGTTAGAGTGTGCCTTGAATAGAGCCTAAGTTATAACTTATAACTCATGAGAGGTTATCATATTAAGTAGTAGTTTTCCTAAAATCTACCCATTTTTGCCATTTGGGTTCCACTGCCCATGAAAGGATGGAGAACAGCTAGTCTGAATTAATCCTGTGATAACTGACCATCTGCTGGCTGCCAGGCTGTTAAAGCTCCATATAGCCATCTCAGCCTCTTCGAAACTTAGCCAGATGAGTTATTCTACTTTCCTGCAGCAAGATTTTTTGTCCTCTTTAATTAACAAGAAAACAGTAGTTCTTCTTAGAGCTGGGATAAGGTAGGAGCATCAAATAAAGGTTTTAAAATCTTACTTTCTTCCAGGAAACCTTAGTAAGCCTTAAAACAAAATAGATGAAACCACACACACACACACACACACACACACACACACACAGAGAGAGAGAGAGAGAGAAAGAGAGAGGAACTTCAGTGCTCTCCATCTCTACATCTCGCCTTGAGTGTTTTTTAGTTCTAGAGCTATGATGACCTCTATCACCTGCTGCTCTGGAAGAGGAAACTGCAGAGAGGTGATCTGTCCTGTTACCACACATCATAAATACAAGGCAGAACTAGTGACATGATTTGAATTTGTGTCTCCATCCAAATCTCATGCTGAATTATAGTCCCCAATGTTGGAGGAAGGGCTGGGTGGGAGGTGACTGGATCATAGGGGTGGATTTCCTCCTTGCTGTTCTCGTGAGAGTGAGTGAGTTCTCATGAGATCTGATTGTTTAAAAGTGTGTAGCACCTTCCCCTGCTCGAGCCATGTAAGACCTGCATTCTTCCCCTTTGCTTTCCGTCATGATTGAAAGTTTCTTGAGGCCTTCCCAGCCATGCTTCCTGTACAGTCTGCAAAACCATAAGCCAATTAAACCTCTTTCTTTTATAAATTACCCAGTTTCAGGTATTTGTTCACAGCAGTGGGAGAATGGACTAGTAACAACTAGAAACAAAAGGAAAGCCTTGGTGAGACATTTCTTTAAAAAAATTTCACCACATGAGCTCTTCTGACTGGCTACTCAAATAACTCATACATACAAGCATACCTATATAAACACATAAATAATTGTTTTAAAGGTGGGAGCAATTAAAGCTATCCACCCTAGCTCTCATGCCTCTCAGCTGGAGGTTAGATCATGAGCCCTGGCAGGGTAAGGATAAGGTCCTGCTCAAACCTGTTTGTTTCAGGGCTGATCAGAGGTTAGATAAGTGGAATAATTTGCCCAAAGTCAGACAGAAAGAAAGTGGTGGAGCCAGGATTCGAACCCAGTAGATTACCCCTGAGCTTGTGCTCTTAACTGCAAATATGCTGAAAAAGGAAGAACTTCCTGCTAGAGGATTATGGAAGACTTTGATACTTAATTACCATATAGCCCATTCCCTCCCAACTCTTCCCTGCCCACCTAAAAGGAAAAAATAATGATAAATGGTCTAAGCTACACTGTGTAATTTTCAACATGGATCCACTTCCCAGAATCCTTTTCTACTCGTGATGACAATGAGACACAAGTCTAATCAATAAGGCATAAAAGAAAGTCTGCTAGTGAGCTTCACGAAACGTTCGTTTCCCAAGAAAAGGTCCAGACTTGATGGAAACTGGCTTGCTGTGGCCTCTCCTTCTGTTTTCTTCCTGCACTGAAAACAGATGTAAAGTCCAGCTATGTGGAAGCTATCTGGACACCATAATCTCAGGCACAAACATGAAAGACCACGTCTGAGGATTCTAGAACAGAAAGGTGAGAGAGTGTGCATTCCCAGTGGCACTACTGAGTTACTAAGCCAGTCCTGAAGCCACCTACCTTCAATCTTCTTCCTGAGTCAATAATTGTTTTTTAAGCCACTGTTGGTTAAGTTGTTACTTGCCTACCTGATCCAGAGATCAGGAAAGATACATGAAGAGGATAGTACTACAGTTGTGCCGTAGAGGATGGAATAGCACTTTTATATGTAGAAATGGAGGGAAGATACACCACACAGAGGAAATCTTCTGATTACGAACAGGGATAAGATGTACACACTAGATTCTTCTTTAAAGGGCAAAGACCATCATTCTGCCGTTGGGTCTGAGGCCACCGGTGATAATGCTCTTTTATTAATCCGGTTGCTTTAGAGACATACGGTTTAGCATATTGCTTCTCGAAGTGTGATCCCTGACCTAATCACATCAGAATCGCCTGACAACCTGCTAGAAATGCAAACTTCTGTGCTCCTTCTAGGCCTACTGAATCAGACCCACTGCGGGTAGGGCTTGGCAATGTGTATTGTTTTAACAAGCCTCCCAGGTGATTCTGATGCGCACTCAAGTTTGAGAAGTTCTTGTTTAGCACATAGAGAGAAGGTCCAGTACTGAAATTCTGTGTCCTATTCTGCCCCCAGCCCCTGTGCAGCCTTCCCTCTGCACAGGAGTAAGTAGGGAGGGCTCGCCGAGGTCCTGCCTGCACAACAGTGCAGAGAAGTCAGGCTGCAGGTTCTCCCAGCTCACCATGACACTCCATTTGCTGCAACAATTCTAGTTCTGTAACTCAGAGCAGAAATAGAGACAGATAGGATTCAGAACCTCACCTCTCCTTTGTTCATAAATGCCTTCTCAGGGTACCCCTGCCTACCAACAGGCTTTGAAGAATGGAGATTGTGTCTGGTAGTACTGAGTGGGGAGAGCGTGAATCACGTGGAGAAACAAAGCAGGAGCACAAGCTCATTTCACTGAGGAAATGGAGCACAGGGGAGCTGGAGAATAAAAGCTAGAAAATGGAGCAAATGGGAGCTGGAGAATGAAAGCTGGAAAAGCTCACTAGGAATGCCATTTCCCATCTGTAAGGCAAAAATGATATGAGTTAAGTGAAAGAAGTCGGACACAAAAGGCCACATATTGTATGGTTTCACTTACATGAAATGTCCAGAATAGTCAAAGCCACACAGTTAGAAAGAAGATGAGTGATTTCAAGGCCCAGGAGAAGGCGGAAGGGGCAATGAAGAGCAACGGCTAGTAGGTACAGGATTTCTTTAGCAATGATGAAAATGTTCTGCAATTAAGTACTGTTAATGGTTGTACAACTCAGTGAGTGTACTAAAAACCACTGATTTGTGGACTTTAAAAGGGTGAATTTTATGGTGCGTGAATCATATCTCAATTTTAAAAAGTAAATTGTGTTGGGTCTTTATTTGGAAAATGTAGAAATGAATAGGACCTTAGAGATCATAACTCCATTGTCCCCAGCCCCACCTGACAGATGGGAAAACTAACGTCCTGCTTGGGACTCATCAGAGGAAGGCAGCATTGCTTACGCTGTGAAGGAAGGAAGCCCCTGCACTGCTGAGTCCATGTCACCTAAAGTTGTTTTCAGAGTCCCAAAGAAGTCCCCTCACACACACGCATGTACACACACAAGATGAGCAGCCCAAGACCAGCACACTTACCTCGGCCACAAGGGACACAATGAAATTCAAGCTGAGCATGATGACAATGGAGACCCTCCACAGGACGGGCGTGCAGAGCAGCTGGCGGGAGATGATGAAGCACGGTTAGTCTGAAGACAGGCAGACGCTGGAAACACGTTCACATGTTCACAGTATATATTTTCATAGGCTATAAATCTCATATGTAATATATATGTGTGTCTATTACATAAATCGTATACATGTAAAGAATTTCTATGCTTGTATGCACAGAAAAAGTATGGAAAGGTTATACTCATGATCCTAATGATCTGGAGGTTATGAGAGTTGCTTTTCTTCTTTTATCTTTTTTTTTCTTGTGATGTGCGTGTTTCTCTATAATTTCTAAATTTCCTAAAATAACTTTGGTCACTTTGCAATTAGAAAAAATACTAAAATCACTTTTTGTTTGCTTGTTTGGTTCTGTTTTCAAAAGGGAGGCAGGAATGTGGCTTTATCTCCAGGAGGCCTAAGGGTACACATGTCAAACCTTCACAACTGGGTAGCATTGCCCTCTTCTCCCTGGTGCCACATCTCTCCCCAGCCGTGCCCTGCTTTTAGCACTGGCTCAGGGCATCTCCCTCAGGACTGTGCATCCAGCTGCACAGTGTGCCCTCACAAGGGCACTTGCTAAAGGAGCAAATGGAGGTGAAATCAAGCCAGTCATGACCTGTCCCTTTGCCCATTTTTTCCGTGTCTCCCCCAACCCCTCCAGGCACATTCCTGATATATATGTATGGTGAATGAATGGTGAGTTATTCTACTTTCCTGCAGCAAGGTTTTATTGTCTTCCTTAATTAACAAGAAAACAGTAGTTCTTCTTAGAGCTGGGATAAGGTAGGAGCATCAAGTAAAGGTTTTAAAATCTTACTTACTTCCAGGAAACCTTAGTAAGCCTTAAAACAAAATAGATGAAACCACATACATACATACACACACACACACACACACACACAGAGAGAGAGAGAGAGAAAGAGACAGAAACTTCAGTGCTCTCCATCTCTACATCTCGCCTTGAGTGTTCTTTAGTTCTAGAGCTATGATGACCTCTATCACCTGCTGCTCAGGAAGAGGAAGCTACAGAGAGGTGATCTGTCCTGTTACTGCACATTATAAATACAAGGCAGAACTAGTGACATGATTTGAATTTGTGTCTCCATCCAAATCTCATGCTGAATTATAGTCCCCAATGTTGGAGGAAGGGCTGGGTGGGAGGTGACTGGATCATAGGGGTGGATTTCCTCCTTGCTGTTCTTGTAATAGTGAGTGAGTAATTGAATAGTAATTCAATGGGTGAATTAATGAATGAAAAAGTGCCAAGGGCATCCCACTGTACCTGGCACTGTCTTATGCATGACCTCATGCGTTAGTGGGAGTAAAAACTGAAACGGTTCTATAGAGGACAATGTTCTCAAAGTTAAAAATTCAAATCCACTTCTAGGAATTTATCTCAGAAATATACTTTTATATGGCTAAAATGACATATGCACAATAATATTTTTATTGCAGCTTTGTTTGTAATAATACTTGGAAATATCTTAAATGTCTATCAATATGGGACTACATATAAAGCATGGTATACATATGACATATACATAATATACATTTGTATAAAATAAAATATTATATTAGCATTAAAAAGAATGAGGAAAATGTATGTACTGATATGGAACAATTAATACTATTACATGAAAGAAGCAAGGTGCAGGACAATGTATGTGTTGTAGCAGCCATGAAAATTTTCCACTCAGATCTGCTGCTGGGAGGATAAATTGTGGATACCCCAACTGTTATGCTCAGAATCCACCACCACACATGCTGTAA